CCCTTCACTTAATGTATTGTACTTAAGCACTCATAGACCACAGACAAGGCCTTTAGCCTAACATTCTTTACATAAATTAAACGCCTTCAACATTTATTTATACCAACTGTTACGTTTATACAACAATTAACTTCACTGTTTATTACATATTAATTACACGTACCTGGTAAAAGACCTTTCGAGTCTTTTCTTTGGTCACCTTGGTCCTCAATCCTCGGGGTTCCTTCTTCCGTCTCAGGCACTTCATCCTCACAACTGGTGGACACAACCAGAAGGAAAGCGCACACACACACAACAATTATCCTCATTAACTCTCTCATTTTCATCTTTATACAGTGTACAGAACGTAAATAAAACCCATTTTCGATCAAGGATCGATAAAAACTTAGTATTAAAACAAAGTCACATTTTCGTTAGTTTACAATCGACTAAGCGTATCGAATGACATTAGAATCGAAAATTTAAAAAACATGACACCAGCACTAATCATCACACATGCCAACACAATAACACAAAAATGTAAACAATTCGAAATTTAAAAAAATTAGACGTAATGTTTTACGAATCGGTTTGTTTTCGGACGCAATACGCACTCAACCTGTAGTCGTCAGCGGTGTTACTGGCGCGCGCTCGCTAGAGAGAGACCGCTTGCCCCCACCTGCGCGCGCGACGATCAATGGACGCTATCGAGAGTCGGCAATAACTGTAGCTGAGGTTTCTAAAGATAAGATATCAGAGAAAACTGCCCGCGTAATTAATGTACTTACGTTTTGTGGTCAGTACCGTTTCAGGTCGACTTACGGTTGGTTGCAATTTGCAGTTTTGTTACTTCTATTTGTGCAACGTGTTAGATGCGTGTATGGAAGCGCAAACCGGTAATCGCAAGGTAGACAATCCATTAAAATCGAACGGTAATATTTTCTTTTCGCTTGTCGAGGATTTTACCAAACATTTTTCTGGATGTCTTTCTTGTCGTACCCCTTTTTTCTCTGTGCAGAAATCCTCTCTGATACCAACGGTGGTTATGTCGGACTCGAACCAACTAAAAACCGCACTCCATCTCGGGAACCAAATGCCAGGAAACCAAGTGTAGCTTAGGAAACTGTAACTTAGGAAAAAAATCCCTGGTACCTCTTGTCGTACCGCTGACAATGCTGCATAAAAAATTGGTTACGGAGTTAAGACATGAAAGCCAACAAACAAACAAAGTTACATTCGTATTTATAATATTAGTTAGGATGGCAAAACAGTAGCTGAAATGCAGTTATAAGCTTATAAGTATATTTAAACGACTTCAAAAAGGAGGAGGTTATCTATTCGGATGTTTAAGGTTTTGTGTATGTTCGGGCATAACTCTGTCCTATACAGACGGATTTTCAAAATCCTTTTTTTGTTCGGGGTTTATTCCGAAATGGTTTCATTTAAATTTCATATAGAACTGATGATGAGCTTCGGAGACAGACAACGGAACTCTAAAAAAAATGACAGCAAATCAACCGCGATAGCTGCTAGATTTTTAGAGCTCTTTGTTAGTATTGTTTGAAGTCGGTTCAACTATTTTTAAGAAGGATTTTCTTGTGGGTAGGTTGATTGGGTGGGTAGGGTGGGTTGATGTTTGGCTTGTCTGTAAAATGCAGCGAAAGATTTATATCGAATTTCTTTGAAGTCCAGAAGACCCACATTTATGTGTCGTCTACAACAGCTTTAATCTCATTTAGGTTGAAACACATAATTTTTAAACTTAAAGCTATCTAGAATTTTCTACACATTCTATTCAGTAAACGCTGATACGCAAATGTTAATCGCATTATGTCATATTTGGGAACGTCTATAATTAATTAATCACATGATTATCTACCTGCCGCCCAGTCATCATTATCGCCGTCGACATCATATTCCTGCGGCCTACTTAATTACTACAGCTGATAACATGTAACGGTGCAACGGCTGGTTTCTATTATAGCCGGCTGCGTGCCTGATGCCAACTCTCCTTAGAAATATGTAAGCATATTTAACGGATCTGGCAAAAAATACGTCATAGGTATACTTACTAATGTAGTTTAATTTATTGAGACTACAACTTACTAGATTAGTATTTCAGTACTCTATGGACTTCAGAACCTGTTTCTCAAAGTCTTCATACAATAATTAAGCTTATTTGGCGGTATCGTGAATATAAGTACTGCGCGTGATCTCTGGTTTCCACCTGCTACTGCCGAATTGGTGCAGCAAGCCAATTCACCAATAGCAGGTTCAAACCAGGGCTGTATGTTGCTTTGTGTAACGTATAAATAGGTAGGTACTTATAACAGGTTGTTAAAAATAAATAGTTCTTGTTTGAACATTTTTGTTTTATTAACGTACCTACTTGTTACATCATTTACATTTATTTGCTTATGAATTCGATGGGAAAGTTTATTATATTGGCTCTCAACATCAGCAACTACAATAAAACTTATTGCGCAAACAAGTAAATTTACGTCTTGCAACTAAAAATAGGCCTCTCCCATTGCACGCCACTTAGATCGATTTTGGGCTTCTCGCATCCAGCTCCTGTCAGCCATCATGCGCAAATCGTCACTCCACCTGGCCTGGTGGCGTCCTACACTACGTCCACTCTATGGGAGAGACATTTGTCCAGCATTGGACTGCGATAGGCTGATGATGATGATGAAGGTGAAGTAAACAAAAATCTAAGTAAAGGAAGAACAAACCTAACATTGGTCGCATACGATATGCAATTTTTTTTCTTTGTCTTTAAGGTATAGAGAGATATATACGAGCAGATGGGTCAGAAGTCACAACTTGCGGGTATTTGAGTGAACTGCCAGAATTAAAGGGAGAGGGGGTTCGAGCCCCCGAAACGCGAAGAAAGGATTGCTTTACGCGCCGAATTACGGCAATACTGTATCACGAATATTACTAAGGTAGAATCGTCATATATTTTGTGTCGCAGCGACACATAAGACGGTACCAACTGAAGGTCGACCATAGAATGAACAAGAGCACCAATCTTGCAATAAAGGCAACGAGAGAGATGGATAATAGATAGTTACCTCTATCTCTTTCTAATCGAGCTCTGTAGTTGGCTGGGGAAGTTTCTAATCTCCCCGCCTTTTCTACGATCAAAACCATATCCACTTTACGATAGCCAATCGCAGCTTAGCTAAACAGAGACAGAGGGAACTATCGGACATCCATCTCTCTCGTTGCCTATATCGCTTCCACTTACAGGCAGCTATACCCTGTGTTCCCTCTATGCTTATATCTGTATAGGGTCAACTCTAGCGCTGCGGGCGCTAATTCGTCGAATAAAATAACGTGTTCCCGCCATCCTGCTACGAGTACGCTCGAACACGCATACGTCCTTTTTCACGAAATCACTAACACAAGTTTCGGTAAACCGTTTTTTTTATTTTATAAAATAACACTATTCGCTATATAGATATATACCGATTAGGTATTACCCAAAAATGTTTATGCATATTATTAACACAGTACAGTTCTTGGTGTTAATAAAAAAGGAAAATGAACGTAATGAAATGATATGAGTGTGTGTGTGTGTGTGTGTGTGTGTGAGATATATTATTATTTATTATTATTTTTATTTCTGTAAGTAAATCTTTTCAGATATTTTTACAAGTCGGTCTTTACAGCTAGATGGAGGCGGAATTTCTTAAGACTCACCCTGGGAAGAAACGCCAAAGCAAACCACAGAGGTGTTTTTTTTAGTCCGTAAACAAAGTTAAAGAAAACTGTGCGAGTACAGTGTAGGGTCTGGGTAGGCCTTTTGAAGAAAGTATCATAGGTTAGTTAGTTATGTTATTATAAAAGACAACGCCCGCACTAGGAATAAATCCTGTGTCGCGGGTGTTACAAACATACATGAAACGAACACAAAGTACACCCAGACTCAGGACAACAATTTGTGGATCACACAAAGTGTTGTCCCATGCAGGAATCGAACCCACAACACTCAGCGCAGTAGGAAGTGGCGAGGTGACCGCTTAAACCACTACGCCATCCGTGCAGTTTGCCATAGTTTTAAGTCTGCCTGTCCATACAGACGGCATACGACCCCAAGCCGAGCATACATGTTTAGCATTTAGTATTTTATTTATAGTATATAGTGTATATACGTAGGTCAGATTTATGTTAAATTAATAAATTTAATATAAATAAAGTCAAATCCTCTGTTTTCTCTTGCACCTACAGCATTACTTTTCTACATCACCCCAAGTCCGCCTTTTATTTTTTCCGTGCGGAAATCCCCTCGGATACCACCTATCGGTGGCATGTTGGACTCGAACCGACTAAAACCGCACGCCGTCTCGGGTACTAATAGCCGGAGAACCAGGTATACCCTAGAAAGGAAGTCCCTGGTGACCCGAAGTCCGCCTGTGTACAACTTGTGCATTAAGTTAAATAAATGTTTACATTCACACCGGAGGCCGTCAGAGGCGATCGAACACCTTTCTCCACGATCCTGACATACAGCTTGCACCTCATCCGCATTTAACAGGCCTTCCATACTCTCGCCGATTACGGTTGTTTTAACGAGGGCCTTCTTCAATACAGTACCGATCTGGGGCCTTACTCTTGATTTTAATTCCGACCAATCGACTTCGGAATTGCAAACATCATTGCAACAATCGGAATTAAATTGTAGAGTAAGGAGGCTAGCTCGCCCGCTCACGGGGGTTTTTTAAATCTTCTAGTCATGCGCTCTTCGCTCTTCAACATGTCCAAACCATTGGATGAAAAATAAAGTAGACCATCATTTATATTTCCTCAATATATAATCATGTATACAGTCGATAAATTTACAAAAAACAGCTTATTTTACTAAAAGCAGCATAGAAAAGAATGCCACTAGAATGCTGAGGGAAAAGTCCTGCTTTTATACCTAAAAAATAAACTCATTTAGACTGACAAATGATCAAAATTTGGTGTAAATTGATTGTGGTAAAGAATCAGTATCGAATAAAGGTTTGACCATGTCACGTTGGGCCAAATGACCTCACGGGTGAAACAAGCAACCCACGACCTATAGTATCTTGTTTATTTCTGATCAGATGTCTGATCATAAATTTCATTCTTTGTAACTTTTTTCGTAATCTTCTTTTTTTCTGCCACATTAAATTCAATCTCTTTTTCCTGTTCTCTGCTATGATTTCTAGTCTCCGAACCTTATATTTTAGATTGATTACCTCTTCAGAGTCTGTTGGGTGAACATCAACCAGTTCGATTCTTGAGATGGACGGTTCTGAAGCTTGACATGGCTGCAATAAAAATACCATGTTAGTTTTAATTGGCCTTACTGCTAGTCACCTATATTTATTATGCAGTAAGCAGCAGTTTCACTGCAAAGTAGCAAGATCTAACAAAATAATAATAGAATTATCACTTTTAAATTTTTAGATTAAATATATGATAAACTGAACAAAATATTTAGTCTCCTTTAATTTGAACATCATCTAGTCGAGTTAAACTAATTTTAAACTACATAGTAACGCTCACTCACACACACGCACTCACATCAACAGCCATTAATAGTCCACTGGTTGACATATGCCTTTCCTTAAAAAGGATGTTTTGGCCTTTTATACCACGCTGACCAGACGGGTCTGTATAGGGTGTGTTCTCCTTCTCTTTGGAGTGCCGTTGTGGTCCTGCGTAGTTTGCTCCGTTAGAAGGTTCTCACGACACCCATGGGATGAATTAGGGTGGTGACACTCCGTATTCCTAATCCGTCACCATACGAATGCCACGAACACACAACACACACCCTCTCGTAAACATACGCTTATGCACACATTTATATGCACTTCCACTTGTGGTCAATTAAAGATATGATTGTTCAATGTAAATTTATTTAATCAATTCATTTATAACGCATTTTAGTAACTGAAATAAATATTTGTAATTAAAATTAATTAAAAATATTTTTATTAATTTTATTTATAGTTTTGTTATTGTTTAACTTTATAAATTAATTTCTCTACAACTTATTGTATTTGTAAATTGTTAGTAATTAATTACAATTATGAAACAATGTGCCGTGGGTGGAAGACGCTGACAACTCTAACATAATTTATATCAGTACGCTCATCAACTATAAATTCTTAAACATATATTCAAGAATGTTTGGGTTTTATTAAATTTTTATAATCATATGAAATAAGAGAAATCTGTAGTAAAAGGTGATTAATAATATTTTTCGGACATCTGACACACAACGCCATCTAGTTTCAAACTAAGCAGAGCTTGTACTATGAAAGCTAAATTGACTGATGGAATACTTATTTACTTTTTTTTGTAAATACATACATAGAATACACCCCAACTCCGAAACAAATATTTGCAGATCATACAAACGTTGGTCGGACCCGGTAATCGAACCCAAGACCTCAGCACAGCAGTCGCATACGCTACCACTGCACCACTGAGGCAGTCAAAGTCCTTATTAGTTATTATTATTAACTTCTCAACTTCTTGTAAATTCTCTCATCGCTATGTATTTATTCAAGTTCATAACATTAAAGTTTGGCTGCAAGCTGTCTGGCATGATCACCTCACCTAGCTACCCTTACCCTAGCTAACACAAAGACCACCAGGTAGGTGAAATAGTAGTTACATTTAAGTTATAGGTACTTCAACCTACTACTGTGCTATGCATTCCACAATCTCGTTGCAATAATGGTTTTTAACTATAGGTTTTCTGATGACAATTACAAATGAAACATGTGTGCTAACAAGTATACAATTGAAAACGTTACAGCCTTGGGAATGCAAATAAAAGAAGCATTCTAGATTTGATCCAAGTTATACTAAGTAAATTAAGTAACAGTTAACACTAATGTTAATGGATATGTTTATGTGGTAAAAATTATTAGTAAAGTATTAAATTTCGAAATAATTATGTATCTTAATAAATAGAAATATGAAAATAAAATTATAATGATGTCAACCGATACATTTTAATTTGTTTATTCACAATTTACAAACCCAGTCATATAGGTTATCAAGTCAAACATTTGTGTTTGATTTCGTCGTATTTATATCAGTTGTCTAGTACGCATAGCAAAAGCTCTGCTTAGTTTGGGACTAGGTGGTGTTGTGTGAATGTGGTAGAATATTATTATTATTATCAAATTGGCCTACATATTTACATGTATAGGTATTTGATTTATGTTCAATATTAAATAATACATATAATAAAGCATTTAAATAACTTACAGATATATTAAGAGCTGGCACAGCATTCATAGAAAGTCTCCGTAATCCACTCTCAGTTAAATAGAAGTCTTCCGCATTGAAATGTTCAGAGCAAACAGCACTCGAAGATGTTGAGGACCAATTATCTTCTCGATTGACAGCTATCTCCCATTGCTTACGTCTCTCGCTGTCTCTAGGAAATCTGTGTAACATAGCACATGAACAATTGAAAAAAAATACAAATAATTATTTTAGTAAATGTCTGTATTTTCTTTAACCCAAACACAGTATGTACTGCTTTGATATGATTTGCAAGAAGCATTATTTAGTCTAAGAAAGAGCAAATTTTTAGTATGGTATTTAATGTGTTTAATAACCATAATAATTAAATAATTCCAAGATCTGATGCATGAATTTTATCAAATAATATACAGCTGTATTTCATGCACCATGGAAACAACGTCCCGATAGAATAACTAACAATTTTATTAGAATAAAAAATCATATAGAATCTTAAGACAAACCTGTGAAATGTTATCCCATCTTTGTTTTTTGATATTTTAGCCGAGGTGTTCTTACAATTAGCTACAGCACAGCTAACCATATTTCCGTCGCTTCCAAATAGACATTTATGTACATAGTCTTTACCAAAAATAGAGTAGACAAGAATATTTATAAAATTAGACAAATAAACAAACTAACTACCAAACCATTTGACATTTTGTATTTGTTTTCATATTTGACAGTTTTGAAGTTTTAATGTGCTGTACTCAGAGTCAAAGACAATCACTAAACCAGTACAGCAAACAATCACTGATACAGTTTATGTGTTTATGTATGTTTAGGTGTATCTATCTACCAGAATAATGTTGGATGCACACATTCTGATGGAGTGAGATCCTGCCTCATTGTTGCTGCATTTTTTCATTTTGACATATTTAGCATTATTGATTAGGATTCCAGTGATGAGAATAATATCTAGTACATAATTTTAGCACTTGAAAGATTTAACATGTCTATCTCTATGCTTATGTCCAGCGGTGGATTACTAAAGGCTGTTGATGATGGGATGATATGATCTCTATGATTGTGTATCTGTTAGACCCATAAATAACTACAAATTAAACTAAAATAGGTCCAACCTGTATTAATTCAGTTTTTACTTGTTGGAAAGGGGACTTAAGTAAGTATATTTTTAGCTATAATTCAGGTAATTTATCAAATATCATTAATGGTTCTCCAAAAAGTAGCTGAAACTTATATAATAACAGTTAAAATCACACACAGAAATGAAAAAACCGAAACATCCAAAACGCAATGAGTTATGGTCGAAATTAGACCGCCAGATGATCACTACTAGTAATTCATCTATGTATAAATAAATTCAAAACATTTACATTTTCCCCATTGGAAAACCAATCTTATTCTGATGACGAATTTTAGTGTTAATAGAATTTGAAAGTACTTATTTTTTCAAACGTTTTTATTTCTGTTATTCGAAATAATCACCCATGCAATCGACGCATCTTTGCCAACGCATTGGCAGTTTATTGATGCCCTTCTTGTAAAAATCAGCTGGACGGGAGGCAACAAACTCTTCAAAGGAAAAAGTTTTGCAAATTTTGGAAAAAGTAATAGTCGGTAGGTGCAAGGTCAAATACTTTCAATTATTGCATACAAAACGGCAATTTCATAGGTAAAGACCTAATATTAATGAAAAAGTTGAAAGTCAGTCCCTCCATTCGATACAGCTTTATTGATAATATAATTAATAAATTACTTCGATTTTCAATTTTAGTAATAGAAATTGCATTAACTTTATCATGAGTAGGTACTTAACATTTAAAGTAATTAACAACTAAAATAAATACTTGCATTGTTTTAAAAGATATAAATTATATGTTATATCCAAACCAAATGTTTCATCATCATCAGCCTATTACAGTCCACTGCTGGACATAGGCCTCTCATTGTTTACTAACACATAATATCAATTAAAACATTTCTTTTTTTCCTAAAAGTAGTTTTTTTTAATACGAATCGCCAGTGTATTCCAGACCTTGACAGAGGTGGGTGTCAGACATGAACCACATGGCATTCTATCACGAAAATATTTCGACCTCTGTAACTACCCGTGTTCGTGTTGCCTTACAGGTATTAGCCCTTTTTTTCCGTGCGGAAATCCCCTCGGATACCACCTGTCGGTGGCATGTCGGACTCGAACCGACTAAAACCCGTCCGTCTCGGGTACTAATAACCGGGGAACCAGGTATACCCTAGAAAGGAAGTCCCTGGTGCCCCGATATACCTCGGGCCATCTACAGACAAGTAGACGAGTAGAGGGGAACATGGGGCTCCCACACGGGGGGGTCCCCGTGTGGGAACCCCATGTTCCCCTGCTCCCTGGAAGCGAGCGCGCTTCGCAACGCGCTCGCCGCCACTCCGGCCTGCTTCTGCTAGGGTGACAGATGGCCTCACCTGTCACCCCCAGGCCTGCGCTTATGGAGGACTAGCCCGTTCCCGGGCCTGGAGGGCCGGGAGAGTTCTAAACCTCTCCCGGTCCCGCTCCGCCGTCTCCTTCGCGAGCATAACTTGCTCGCAGTAGGATACGGCAGAGTTCCACGCACTCTCGCTCCGCACGATAGCCGCAATCAGGCTAACGAGCGAGAGAACTCCCACTCCGATGGCCGCCACGAAGTCTCGCCTCTGCTCAACCCACCCCGGGCACTCTGTCAGCGTGTGGAGAGCCGTGTCCACGGTCTGGCCATCGCAGTGGTGGCACTCAGGCGTTGACTCCTTGCGGATCAGACACAGGTGATCCCCGAAACATCCTTTCCCAGTGATCACCTGCGTCAGACGGTATGAGAGAGACCCGTGACGCCTCTCGAGCCAATCCTCCATAACGGGTCTTACCGCCGCGATGACGGCGTGCCCGGCGCTCGGTTGCCCGAGTCGTTCCCTCCACTCCCCTATGATGACCTGGCGGAGTTATGATTTCCGGTCATCGATTTCTCGAATCTCGAAGTCCCATCTGCCATCGAGTACGAGCCCCAGATACCTGATCGAGGGCTCGATGTCGATGCTACAGGTATTAGCCCTGAATCCGGGATAGGCTTCTCCTGCTGCCCCCAAAAGAATTAGCCCCCGTCTTTAATAGAGGAGAAACAAGCTTTAACCGGCAGACGGTGCAACGCGCTTCCGTCTAAGATCTGCTTCTGCTACACCGAAAGGCTCTCCCACTCAGCGATGGGTTGGATTCGTGGAGGCTGCAAATCAGGTTGAATTCTGAGTGGATTCTCATTAATGATATGAAAAAGTAAGAATAACACATTGTATAGACGTATTATTATTTATATAATGGCCCTAAAAATTTCGATATAATTCGACTGACAGATAGACAGATAACCCTAAAAAGAACCCTAAGCAAAAGATTTAAACTTTTTAAACACTGTTTTTGGTAAGATATTCTTATTTCTACAAAATACAGTATCTTTTTTCAAATTTACAAAAAAACATGTTAGGTCCATATGTCAAAAACGACGGGCGTGTCGCATTTTTTTTTAAATATTTTAACACGTAATTATAGGTGTTCGAGTGTATCATTGATGGCTTCATTACTTTTTTAAACGGGGTGCGGCAGCGGTGTGGCGTTCACGCCTACATTTATCGGGAATAATAGAGACATTTAAATAGGGAATATGCACGTGACACCAAAATGGGCAAAATATTTTTATTTGTAATTTTTATTGCTAAAAAAAGATACCCATACAATTATTTTTGAAATTTATTATAATTTAATAGTGAAATTTAATCATCAAAAATTGGCTTTTTTAAGATTCCCTCGCAAATTTCTAAAACGCAACGCTATTGGTTGAATAAAACGTGACGTCAACCTACACTGTCAAGAGTGTCAACAAGTTGTGTGTCAGTGTTAAATTATTAAATTCCCGTTTAGAAAGACTCAACACAATGACTGAATATACTTTGTCAGGTGCAGTTTTGATATTATTTGGGCACAAAGGAACGGCACAATATTTACAATAAGTTTTTATTGGCTTTTCCGTCGAAATAAGTTAATTTTTATCACTCACTTTTTTAACTTTCACAAACTTTGTGAACTTCACTCCGTTGTTGACATCGAATTCGTCTGAAAGTGTAATCGGACGTCACAAAAAAGCGCGCCAAAATGGACGTGTTCAAATTGCCCCAAAATGATAGTGATTTTAATAAATTTTTATTTGCTTAACGGTTTATATTTCGGATGTGTTATATTTATTTTTGGTAATGTAATAACTAGTAGAATCGTTTAAAAAAATAAAAAAGATACATGCATATTCCCTATTGCCGGTTTGGATTACAATGCAATAAGACTGTGCAGCCTAAAATTACTGGTATTTTGTTAGGCTAGTGCTGGGACTGAATTAACTAGGTATCGATGTTCAGGAAAAAATATTAATACTTTTGTTCAGAGAAACGCAAAATAAACAGATTTTAGAGTAGAGGTTTACAAATATTAGTATTTATAAGTTAGTTTTATTCTAAACACTTTTATTTCAATAGCTAACAGCAAAAATACGTAGATAAGCAGTAGAGCCACAATTTTCGTTCAGATACTATTAAAATATTGTATTAAGTATCAATGAAAACAAAAAATACCAAAGAGTATAATAACTTTATGAAAGTTGTGAACCCAGTATGCTAAATTACTTTTGTAACGAATTAGATCTCTAGTTTGCAAAAACTAATAACACCATGTTATAAGTTAGTCAGGTATTAGCAAATAGATATTACTCATTAAGCAGCCATTCGCATCGCTAAAAGTACAATCATAACGGTCAGACTATCTAAGAAAAACAATATCTAGCATATTGCCTTTCTTAGTCACAAATGTTTAATATTTTGAAACCGTGGACTACAATATTTCGAGCAGTTTGTTATTCCTGATATTAGTCACTATTGTTTTTAAATTGGTTCCCTCGAACCTTAAAAAAATTAATGTCTTAGAGTGGGCTGTTAAATTTGAATCTAGCCCCGTGTTGTTTCCCTTCTTGAAACACGAGTAAGGGTCGCGAGGTCATAGCGCTCTATCACTATAAATATGAGGTGCGTCGTGATTGGGTATCATTTCAATAAATCTTTTTACCGTGGAAATATGAATTCGTTGCGTAAAAGTTTGGAAGATCCAGAAAGACCTTTCTTAGGTCCAAACTATTGGCTTTTGAAGAAAGTCGGATTTATATTACCAGAAAATAAGCTGGCTAAGATACTTTATATAATATTACACGAGATAGTCACTTTCTTTGTGATAACGCAGTACATGGAATTGTACGTGATAAGGTCAAATTTAGGTCTTGTATTGACTAATCTGAAGATTTCAATGTTAAGCGTCGTTTGCGTCATTAAAGCGAATACATTTGTTCTATGGCAAACCAATTGGCGAGAGGTGTTGGAGTATGTTACATCGGCTGATAAATTCGAACGTCAAAATCAGGATCCAATTAGAAGTACAATCATTAATTCTTACACAAGTTACTGTCGTCGGCTTACATACTTCTACTGGTCACTAGTCTATACAACGTTCTTGACAACGACATTAACACCTCTCATGAGATATGTATCATCATCTACTTTTAGAGAGAATATGAGAAATGGAACTGAAGACTTTCCTCATATCTTTAGTTCCTGGATGCCCTTTGATAAATATCACTCTCCAGGATGTTGGATTACTGTCGTATGGCATACACTTTTATGTGCTTATGGAGCAGCTGTGATGGCGGCTTACGACACGTCCATTGTAGTCATCATGGTGTTCTTTGGTGGAAAGGTCGACTTGTTACAAGAGAGATGTAAGCAAATGTTCATGACTGAATATGGTATCACCAACAGAGACTTCAAAGAAGTTATGCGTCAACTTCACGAGATTCACGTGATGCTAATCAAGTAAGTTTTCAATTAGAAACGTAGTTAAATGTATTTTGTAGAGAAATAAACTATTGTTCAGAACTCGTACAAAGAACTCTTATTGAAACAGTATAATACTTTAGCTGTAATAGTAGTTCTATTTTTATCCAACGCTCAAAGTTCAGCTAGGATTACTAAATGACAATAGTGACTTCATAATTACCAACATTTAATGTACTTTTTAAGCAATACGTTTACATCTTCTGAAACTAACTCAACTTGATTTAAAAGTTTTACGAAACCCTCTAAAATTGTTTGTAAATACTAACAACATTTAAAAGTAGTGTATATACTGGTATTTTGTAATAGTCAGACTATTTGTTGGCAATGATTGCTAATTAGAGAAGAACTTGGTTCAAGCTTACTATCTCAAACTTTGACTTCAGTTTTGTTCTAAAAGGAAATGGCGTTTTAGCAATCTTCATGATTTCCTTCGCATCTAGAAAGCCTAAGCCTAAGCCTTTTTGTGACTAACGACTATCGTTTACAGTTTAATTTTCAGTAAACAATAATTATCATCCCTGTACTGCAAATCTCTCACGTCTTGGAACAGGTATAAGGCAACAGTCCGCTAGTTGCTGACTCAGTGCAAATTGTGAGATTGTTGAAATCTGATTTGATTACATAACTGTAAAAGAATCTTATAGAGAACTCTGTATGATGTTTACCGACTGTTTAAGGTCATATCCTGGTGGAAAATTTGAACCGCTAGAGTGAAATCTTTATGATTGTAATTATTTTATTTTATTTTGATTTGATGTGATAAAAATGGCATAAATATTAATGAATATTGAATAACTATTTATTTATTTAGGACAACTTAGAAAACATACACTAATACATAGTTAACAAACATGTTTTACAAATATGTGCTGAGTGTTGTCGTACTTACAAGTTGCCACGGCATGGTAAGGGACATAATATACAAAACATTATAACTATAATAGATTTATATCCAGCCTTGTTTCCATTTAAGCATGGGATGGCTCATGCTTCCACATCTATGGGCCGGCTCGAGTGTAGTTATACTACAGTTTCACAGAAAACTGTTTTTTTTATGGTATAAGGGGGGGCAAACGAGCCGACGGGTCACCTGAATGTAAGCAATTACCGCCGCCCATGGACACCTGCAACTCAAATGTCAGAAGTGCGTTGCCGCCCTTGGAGTCCCTCCCGTTCGAGTCAGTGTTAGGGGGGGATTTAGGCTCCGCTAACCTCACTCACTCAGTAAAAGGCAACGAAAGAATTGCTTAACACCGGTTTTCTGTGAGGCTGTGGTATCACTCCGGTCGAGCCGGCCCATTTGTGCCGAAGCATGGCTCTCCCACAATGATGCTAAGTCATTTTTTTGTTGCTTTCATACTATAGTGCCAGAAGAAGATAATTTATTGATAAGTAAACGTTCATTCATAGCAAATGACGAGATAGAAGCCTATTGCCAAATGCCGGGACTTGTAGTAAGTATCTATAGTGCACCTGTCTATTCTTATTTTCTTACTTAAATAAACTTAAAAACATTTGGCAGTAGGCTTCTGTCTAGTCCATTGCCATCTATGGCATTGAAATTATAGCAACCGAGGCAATGACTATCTTTATATCATTTTTAGAGCAAATTATTTTTGGGATTAAATCTTGTCAATGACAGCTTACTGAATATATGATGGATCTTATCAAAATCTACATTCTTTAAAGTTAAAATCGTGGTGGGGATTTGGGACGGAGCTATTGCTAATACTAAAACTTCTTTCTAGTCTCCTGGAACACGAACACCTTAATGCTCAGACAGAAGCATTGTTTTCTTTTGATTACCATTGAATGTTGTTAGTTGTACTTACTTACTGCAATCCCTACTGGAGTATTTTTAACCACCGCTATCAAAACAGGCTTAATAGTTTTTTTGTAAATTTCTCTGTTTTCTGTGTCAGTACAGAATGTTTTTCAAGCCACATTTAACTCAATAATAATTATAAAATTCTACTTTAAAATATTAAACTCCCACGACCCTTAGACTTCGTTTTCACTTTCTACATTCCCTTTTTAATAGGGTACAGTGACAAAAATGCAAATAGCCTCTTAGACAGACCCGCTCATGATTTCTTCTTTTCTTTAAAAATCTGTCGCCCATTTTTTTACGGGACTAATTCCTCCCACACGCTCACCACTGTAACTTCTGTGCACCAGGATCTTCAGCAATGACCTACCTACGAACACGCCGAGTTATGATACTCAGGAAGTTCAAGAAAAAATTAAACTATCTTCGATTTGTCAAAAAACCCTGACAGCAACGAAAGAGCTCAGTGCCTCTTTTGAAAGCTATCAGAAAGCTATGTGGAAGGGCTGCTGCCTCACCCCTTATCAATTTACCTACTGGAAGTTATTGAGTTCGTTGCCGCATCGTAAATGAGCAGTGGTTCTCTGATAGTTGTTAAAAATAGAATATATTAAGTGATTTCTGAGTTTAAGCAGAGTTTTAACCAGACTGGATTTATCTATAGTTAGTATAGTTTATGTCCAGTCCAGTTAACGTCCGTTTACAAGAAGTCAAAACTCTCTATAGTTATAAAAGCAAATATAGCTTTTTGGTTTCCACTATTACAAGTTTATCTTAGTAGGAGTAAAAAAGATCCTTCAACATCACCAAAGGTTCCAAAACTGAATAGTCATCAGATCCGTTCAGATCAAAAGTATAAAACTATTACATCTTAAGTTATTATTTCGGTTTCAATCTCCAAATACCTGTGAAGTGTGCGTTAAATGGGATAAAATAATAAAGGATTTTCTACAAACAAACATTCCTATTGCTTAGTTATAATAACTTTAATAAGAAACGCGAATTACGTGGCACAGCGAGATCACAAGTAACATAATTCTTTGTACACGTACTATAAATGTATAAAAGATAATTTATAAACATTATTGAGATTAGAAAGATAGAAATTATTTGTAACAACCTTTTTCAATATATGAATGTCATAATTCCCACGAAATTGATATATTAATAATAAAACAATGTAACAATACTTCTGTTATTATGTTATTGAAACTAATGATGTTATTGAAACATGGGAGCCGATTCTTGTTCTATGTTACTACTTATCTTGCTTCACAGTTTTATTTGTCTCTATTATCACAAGTTTACCTACCTGTAACTAGCACCTGAAACTACTAAATATTCTTCAACTAAAAAAAAACACTAAGAAACCTGTCACTTTCTGATTTAAATACTTACGTAAAATATAACTGAAACTTAAAACCGCGTACATTTTTTTATGAACTTTGTTAAATATTTTAAAACGTACAAAACATTCTTTTTGCTCGGTCGAACGTGCATTATCTGCCTAATTATTTAATTAACATATAAATAAAGAATGACATCATACAATAAAATGAAACAACACTTCCATATTACATTTTGAAAATGTTAATTTAAATGAGGAACTAAGTTATTTCAAAACTTTTATCGATACGCACATCTCTCGGTAGTCAAACACTATGAAAAAGGCAAAGACCAACACAATTCGGCCAGGCCGCCCCAAAAACAAAACAATGATAATGAATGCCCACAAAATATAATTCCTGTTATAATCATTTTATGTTTCAGATACTCGAGGCTTTTTAATTCTCTGCTGTCGCCTGTCATGTTTATTTACATAGTAATGTGTTCCTTGATGCTCTGTGCCAGCGCTTATCAACTGACTGTACGTATTTATTACTTTTAAGAAATATACCTACCTACTAGTAATCAATTTCTTTTCTATACTTAATTCATTAGGTTTAATTTTTACATTAATCAATATAACCTTAACTATTATTATATAAGTACCATAGACTTTTCGTGTCATGACGTATAATTTTTTTTGGCCGTTTTCACTTAATTTTTTACTGACTTCAAAAACATTAGAATGTCGATTATTATCGGTACATAGTATCCATAATTTATTCCGTAAACTACAGTCATTTCAATGAAAAAGAATCCAAAAAATATCTCCTGGCATGAACACAAAAATATTAAAAAGGCAACAGGCACTGAGGATCGAACTCACCACAATCAATTAATGGTAGTATAGTTCGCTAATCGTATGAGTCATTGATGAATCGATTTGATCATCAAATTCAAATGCTTTTTGCAGTCAGCTACGAATGCTGCTCAAAAACTGCTAATGGCTGAATACTTGATATTTGGAGTAGCACAATTATTCCTGTTCTGCTGGCATAGCAACGGCGTTTTAATAAAAGTAAGTTTGTTATTCTCAACCTTATTGCCACTATATACAATGTCCATGTTCGATTTTAAATTTTTAATGATTATGAGAATTTTGTTTATGACGAAATGTGATTCAACACATCATCACATCACATCAACAGCTTTTAATAGTCCACTGCTGGACATAAGCCTCTCCTAAAAAAGGAGGTTTTGGCCTACTATACCACGTTGGCCAGACGGGTTGATATACTCGTAGGGTTTGAAGTTTTCCTTCTCTCTGCAGTGCTGTTATTTTCTGTAGTTTTCTCTCTTGGTCGACTCTTACGACACTCTGTATTCTTAATCCGTCACCACACGGACAACTTTTATTTACAGAACGAAAACTTGTCATTGGGACCTTACGACAGCGAATGGTGGACCACAAACTATAAACAGCAGAAAGAAGTACTGATACTGGCCGGACAACTTCGCACTAAGAACATTTTTACTGCCGGGCCTTTTGCTAACCTCACTCTAGCGACCTTTATCAATGTAAGTTCACTAGGATGTATCAAATATCTACTTCTGTTTGTATAATATTAAAAAAAAACGAGTCTGCACTACAGTAGTCACATATGATGCGTGTGTGATATCTGTCATCTATCGACAGACGATTATTGGTCAAATTAAATCGCGCTTGTTACACCTGTTACGCATATCCGTTCCGTCATTCACACACACAAATCACAGAGACACGTCACGCATTAAAAAACTTTACTATAGTGTATTACGTAAGCATATAGTCTATGTTGTAGTAAAATAGGTTCGACCGACGCGAACATTTTTAAAGCAAATTTTATGTGTAGCCGAGAAATTGTTCAAAAAATTAAAAGTAGTTTTTTTTTTCTTAAAACTTCCTTATGTCTATGCACATTTCTAAACTTGAATACATTTTTGACACATTTTAAGAAATATCTGGACAGTTTATCAATATCCTTGCTGTTAATTAATTTGTCATTCATGTCAAGCCAATATCAAACAAAATGTTAGCTATTGATCAGTTTATCTTCTTTAAAAAAAAAGACGTGTGGCACTCGGGGACTGCCGCGGTAAAGCTATTGCATAGCATTTTGTATCAACTTATGCAATTATAATTATTTATTTATTTTATTTATGCAGTATTTCTTTTTCTTTCATATTAATTCAAGTTACAGTTTTTGAGCGTGGTGACCGATAAGAAAACAATTTTTTTTCTTTTATTAAATAAAAATATTGAAGCATATATTACAATCTGTTTTTAAATAAATAAATAAAAAATATTATTATTAAATCAAATTACATATCCATGTAAGATTTTTCTGCATTATGTTGACGAAATTTCCTTTGACGTTCAGCATTTGATTTTGGTACTGTTTTTTGTTTTGTTTTTAGCGTGAGGTTTTTTTTCGTTACGGAATTTCTGGATTCGGTCCCCGCGCTCAAGGCCCTCGATAGAAGCTAGGCAATAGCTTAAAAACAACTCCCGCATTAGTAAGTATATTCTGTGTCGCAGTGGACTTTACAAACGTACATGCAACGGACACAAAGAACACCCAGACTGAGAACAACAATTTTTTGATTGCACAAAGTGTCGTCCCAAGTGGGGTTTGCACCCACAACACTCAGCGTTTAATTAGTCACTGTACAAAATTATTAACGCATTAAAATATTATTATTTTATAAAACACGTCATCTTTCTGTAACACTCTTTATAGTCCACGTGATACGTTGAACGAATGCTTTGTTCAAGTGTTTCTTTCTGTATTTCAGATACTAAAAGGTGCCTACAGCTATTATACGTTGCTGAGGAAATAAAATGTACCTAGTTTTTATGTAACAGACATATAATTATTAGCATACTTATCTGTTATGCAGTAGACATGTCACTGTCGACGTGTAAAACACTACTCGTCGGCTGAAACGCTCAGAAGGATGGGGTTCTTGATGTAAACACAAACTTTGTAACAGTATTTTATTTGACTTTTCAAAAAACTCTCGCTCCACAGCTGTACCCGACGGGTTCACAAATCCAATAATAATGGCGGGTTCACAATTCGAAAAAATGGCGGGTTCACAATTCAAAAAAATGGCGGGCCGAGACAGTGTTGCAACATTCGGAAAACAATCGATTCATGAGTCGACTTAAAATTATGATTATGAATAACTTGGGTTTTTAGGAATATTACTATTAGATTAAATTAGTGTTTAAAGTGACTAATATTATTAATTAGTGATGAGTATAAATATGGTAAGGGATAAAATTAATGACTGTTACAGTCGGCCATCCGTCACATAAACGAGTCCCTTCGTTTAGAGTTCTAATCAACAACATTAAAACTGATCATCTAACTTTATGCTTAGATATAGCTAGACAAAAGGGGGTTACTTCACGTCTTTCACCATCAATTTGCCTTGGCTGCGTGTTATATCATATCACTCATGCGTGGTTAGATTCCGCTTGAACTCTGTGCTATGACCCTCAAGGACATATCACTCATGTCCAGCTCGCATCCAACCAAGCTCTGTGCTATGAAACACCCTCACTGAGCACATAATCATTCATCGAATCTGCCAAATCTGCCAAAGCTCTCAAATAGGGTAAGTAGTTATCCTTTTCAAAATGCACTCATGCTCGGTTTGATTTAACTAACCGAAGCTCTGTGCAGGGTGTAATATTCAGCTCGTGTTCCTAGGTAGCAAGTATCTCATGTAAATAAGTATCATCAATATCCTAATTCCCAGTCGTCACCAAATGGTTCACTCAAATTAATTAAATTCTCCTATTAAGATAATCGATTTGATTAAATACCTATTTATAATTACCTATAAAATAATGTCATACAAGTAGATCATTAGTACTAAAGTTACATATTTGTGAGGTACCCGCAAAACATAACAACAAGAAAATTAGTCGTAGTTTTATGCATTAAAGAAATAACACATCCTTTGTAACAAGATATTATTGATTTTAAACGATATGTGTTTAAGGAAATATTGTTAAGTATAAATTAAGCTAACCATTTTTGGGTATAATGTGACAAAGTCTGTATTATTCATTAACAATCAATAAATCTTAAAAGTAATCATCTATTATAATAACTAGATACTTTCGTCACTAGAAGAATATGTCGGTGCATCAAAGCTCATCCAGGGATAGATTTTATCAATCGCTACCACATTCTCATATGCTTTTCCCTTCCGTGTAAGCGGTGTGTCTACTATAAGGAACCTGTCATTGGGCAAGATCTTTTTGATTCGATACGGCCCTTGGCATTTGGATTCTAGCTTCTTCGACTTTCCTGAACCCGAAACAATAGCTCTTACTACCCTGACTAGGTCTCCCTCTTTATATTTGTTTGCTGATTTTCGATGCCTGTCAAATCGATCCTTATTTTTGTTTTGATTGTCTTTAATGCGATCACTAGCGTTTGACCTAATTAGCTCTATGGGTTCGTTAGTCTCACTATTTAAAATCTCTTCAGAGACATTATTCAGAATACCTTGCAATGGGTTGCCTAACCTTCGTCCAAACAGCAATTCAGTTGGTGCTCTTTTTGTGACGTCGTGTATCGAGGTATTTATGCCTAATTGGACATCGGGGAGGAAGGTGTCCTAAATGTCACTGCCTTTCCCGTGTGTCATACTTCCCAATGAGGCCAAAATCGTGCGATTGTATCGTTCGACCTGTCCGTTGGCACGTGGAGTCGCGACGGAGTTGAGAATATATTTCACCCCAACGGACTGAACAAACGTTTTAAACCTTTTGCTGGTAAAACTGGTGCCCCTATCGGTAATGAGTCGCGATGGAGACCCAAATAAACTAAAGTACGTTTTAAAAACTTTAATGCTTGCCTTTGATCTTGTACTACGGACTGCAGATAAATAGACATATTTTGTGAAAGAATCCACGATGACTAAAATGTACATGTTACCGTGCTTGCTGCGTACCTTCCCCATTTTGATGGGGCTACCAAGAGTTTCATCAACCAAATTCGTCTTTATCCGTAACACATCTAAAACCTTGCAAACGCACCCTTGATAAAATTAATTACTTGAGAACTTAAACTCTGTATAAGAACGCGACACACCCCATTGGCCATCTGATATTCACCAGGCAATAAATAGTATTCCATGTCGGGTTTACCCCTTATCGAACCTCCAACATAAACGCTACCACTATGATTAGTTTTGGCTCCAACTGTAACTGCGCTAAGTTCTCCTATACCTAATTCAAAATCATCAACTGCAACAAGCAGAAGTTTAGCTTCATCACTTACGTCAATCTTTTCGATTTGTAAATCGGTAGCAGTTTTTATTATTCTTAAATTAGGTCGTTCCGTAAAACTGTGCCCAAGGAGCACTGGAATATTTATAAGTGAATCATCTACTATTAAGACCTCTACCTGTTCTTCTCTTACATCCTGAATCTCGATTGTGGCAAAAGCTTTACCAATGGGTGCATAGGGAATACTGCCTAATCCTCTCAGCAATGGGCCCTCTACGGTGTCCCACTGAAGGCCAATTTTATGAGCATCGGTCTTACGAATAAGAGTAGCCTGGCTACCTAGATCAACTTTACAAGGAATAACTATACCGTTTATATTTATACCTACTCTATACTTGTCATTGCTATCGTCATCTATGGATACTTCAAGAACACTTTTCGGCGTACCGTGTGCGTTACTATTGTTAACGTTGTTAATGGAGACTTTTCCTGTTATTAGAGTTATTGGGATTCTTTTTAGGACAAGCATGTGAGTCGTGACCTAGAAAATTACATTCAGAGCATTTGGTTATCGGTTTACGACACTGATAACTCATATGGCCAGTTTCGTTACAATTGAAGCAAACTGCATTCACTTTCGGTCGATTTCTAAAAGTTTTATCAACGCTTTTAGGTGGTACAGTGCTGGTCAAAATTGAGGTAGAGCTTTGAAACCGCCTATCTCTACTTGGCCCCTCTCTCCTAATACCATCATTGTACTCCCTAGGGTGGGACTTAACTGTCTTAAGGAACTCTAAAGTTCCCTCGGGTCTATCAAATTTTCCTGCTTGAGCGCTTAACCGAATTCCTTTGTCTTCAATACCAAATATTAAGCAGTCTACTGCCTGCTTACCAAATATTTTACAGCGATTTAATAAGTTAATCTTAGAAAAATAGTACAATTCTAAGGAGTCACCAGGGCGCGCTTTTCTATTAAGCATTTCGGTAAGCAATTCAGCATAGTTCTCGGTAGACGGAAAGGATTCTCTTAATAAAGTCTTCCACTCTTCCCACGAATGCCTAATAGATGGCAAGCCCTGGTACCAGGTCTTAGCATGTCCTACTAGTTTGGGCAGGGCATAGTGAACCGTTTGCCGGTCATTCCAATTATAAATTTCCGCGCATTCGTCTACTTTACTTATCCACATGTCAATAGTCTGTTCCCGAGAAAGCGGGTCAAAATCCGAAAGAACATTATGTAGTACAGGAAACGATTCACGATCCCTACCCTTAAAAATGTTGACAAATTCTTCAAAGAAATTATCTGGTTCCATGACCCTTGGCCGTTGGGATTCTTGGTTACAAATGTCGTTTCCGAGAGGGCTGCGATTCTTTCTAGACGGGGAGTCACGCCGTCGATGGTTATCAGTGACATCGTGTGAAATCACGTTGCGGCTACGTTGTCTCATTAGCTCTTGCTCTAACAGACGTAGCCTCTCGCGCAACTCATCATTCTCGTCGTTCCTTTTACGACTATGACTACGGCTATGGCGGCTACTCCTAGGTCTACTGCGACTGCGACTGCGTTGTTGATATCCACCACATATTTCCCGTCTACGACTCGGTCTATTCTCAAGTAAATTCAGGCTCTGATATAATAGCTCACGGTTACTGTGGTGGCTGCGTTGGATGCTCCGGATGCGGTGACGGCTCCGGCTTCGGCTTTGATCCTGGCTCCGACGTTCGTGTCTCACGCGGCTCCGACTTCGTCGCATACCACCGCTGTTCCCTGCATCACGTTCGACTTCCATTGTTGGTAGTATGAGGCTTCCAGGTGGTACGGGTATTCGAAGTCTACGACTTCGACACCGTTTATCATCAGGGCTACCGCGTTCCATTATCTGAAACTCGAACAAACTTCTTGTATTTCTTGTGTTTTGAGACTTATTCAAAATTAAAAATGGAGCAAGAGATTTTCTGAGGTTAAATTATTTTCAATCGATTTTCATCACACCAATGTCTTAAGTTTCCTGTTGTTGTGCGTAGGTAACGTATTTTACTGCCCGTTCTAATATCAAATACGGGTATATTTTTCCAAGACTAAGTGTTGAAATTAGGAATATTAAAATTAATTCAATCCAATCGCATCTCAGGTCTTAGCCTCTATTTTTAGGTCAGTTATGATCGAAATGGAATATAAATAGGTTTGGGGCTATTTAGTAACCGTCTCTCAATTTATTCCCGATATAAAAAAAAAGAAAAAAAAAATACCAACCTATGTAAGTATGATTTAATCAAAACGCATATGCATTGCACAATAATAAACAGTAGACAAGAATACAAAATTTTTAGTCTTGTGCTTAATCGGACATCTGCAGGTTCGCACCGTACTAGTACAATTCGTACAACGTACTAGCACACCGTAATAGTACTATTAGTACAGTTTTAGTAGAAGTAGAAAACTTAAGCGTTTGTATTGATATTACCAACATTAAAGAAACGGAATACTAATAATTAAATAAATTAAAATACGTAATTTAAAAAAAAAAAAGTGTTATAGTTTTTTTTTTAATATGGATGGCTTTGTATTAGGCAGTTACTTTTCTTCAGTATAGAAATAATTAAACAGTTCTTGATTATTTTTAATGTGTTATCCCTTTCTAAATAACATAAACCTTAACAGTTTGACTTTTAAATACGATTTTTAGATTACTTTACACTAAATTTTTAAGCATAGGTACTATTTGATTTTCCTTCATACTTTACAACCCAACGTATTGTAGTACATCCTGTATCGCTGTCTCTTTTACTCTCACACTGTTTACCAATACAGAACAATAAAGCGGAGCATTAATAGTACGTCGCACAGCGAACGAACGTGGACACTAGTAGACAGAGTAAACAATAGATAGTTTTAGTACTGCGCTTGAAGTTGTCAGTGTGTACTAATAGTGCAAAATGTCCGATTAACAGCTGCCTTTCGGAAACATTACTTTTAGTACAATACCCAGTACTAGTACCTATCAGTATATCGTACGTGTACTACCCAAGACTAAAAATTTTACTGGGCGTCGCGGCGTGTATAACAACTTGTTATTCCTCCAGTGCAAACTAGCGTTGTACGCAACCTAATTTCAATTTGTATTCGTCATATTTAGCCTCAAACAAATATAGCTTTTAAAAAGACAGTATAATTATAATCTACCTTACTTAACAGGACGAGAAAAAAAAATCACGTACCATATGTGTTGACCTGTGGGCGTAGCAAAGACAATATATTTTTGCTGTTATCCCACTTCTGAGCTGAAACGCTCAGAAGGATGGGGTTCTTGATGTAAACACAAACTTTGTAACAGTATTTTATTTGACTTTTCAAAAAACTCTCGCTCCACAGCTGTACCCGACGGGTTCACAAATCCAATAATAATGGCGGGTTCACAATTCGAAAAAATGGCGGGTTCACAATTCAAAAAAATGGCGGGCCGAGACAGTGTTGCATCATTCGGAAAACAATCGATTCATGAGTCGACTTAAAATTATGATTATGAATAACTTGGGTTTTTAGGAATATTACTATTAGATTAAATTAGTGTTTAAAGTGACTAATATTATTAATTAGTGATGAGTATAAATATGGTAAGGGATAAAATTAATGACTGTTACATCGCCTTAACTAGGAAATATTTTGTGGTCACTTTGTACCACTGCATACTGTTGGTGTTATGCATTTGTTATTATTTTTAAGTTACTTTTGTGCATCATGTATTAAGTGTAATGTAATTATTATTTGTAATGAAATAAATGAATAAAAATTTACATTGAAACGTTTATTCATCCTCATTAATAGTTACTATAAAAGAGCAGTCTGTATAAATTATTTAATTATATGGGTTTAATGTGTGGAATGTGACATTTGCGTTTGTAAGAATGCAAATAAATGCGAAATAGGTGAAGAGAAAGTACAATAAAAACGAACGAACGAACGAAACGAATTTTAATTTACGTTTGTTTTTAATAACTCACTCACACAAATCACTGAATGAGATGAGAAACGCATACCTCAAAGGCCGGCAACGCGCTTGTGACTCCTGAACTGCAGGCGTTCATGGGCGGCGGTAGTCGCTTTCCATCAATACATCGTGTATTTAATAACAAGAGTTAAAAACGCTCTTCAAACGCAATCAATCCTTTAGTGAATGACAGAATCCGTCGGTCTGTCTATCTGTTTAAAACTAAAACTAGCAGACGCAGTAGACCTAAGTCAAGCGGGCCACCTACCTTTTTATATTTTTTATAATCTTTCAAATTTTGTGGCCTTTCAAATTAATTTACCATCACAAAGGAAAGAAGTACCTACTCAAAATATTTCATTACATTAAGGTCATCATCAAGAATACTTTCCAAGAATCGCTTAAATGTGAACAATTTCCAACAAACGGGGCATGAAAAATTTCTAATTAACTAATTGTTATTAGAGGAAAGTACAGTATATTAAAAGGTGTAGATAATTAAATTAAGCGGGACGTTTTTAACACCATCCCGGCTAATATTTTTATTAAGTGTACCGGTACTGGTGAATAGGAGTACTAGGGATGTGACAATTCCTCGTTTTGTCCACAAATCAACAGTTAAATTTAGAAGATTTCTTATAACATTTAGCCAATGAGGTTTCTATGATTAACTTTAGCTACATAATATATAGCCAATATATTCACAAAACTTTAGCTATGTTTCAGGGTTTTATAAGCGTCTATATTAAAATTGATGTATATACAGTTATCGTATATCAATTACCTTTTGCCAGAAAATTTAATATGTCTAACCCATAATCAAGTAGGTAGACGATTTATTTAATTTATTACTATAAAGATAATACATAGACAAAAAATAATTGAAAAGACCTAGGCTCAGTAACTGATGCTTTTGTGAGTTTAACGTTGCTCTTGACTAGGGATGGTATAAAATCGCAATCACATGTGACTAATCATTTTATTTATAAACCATATAATCACATCTGTAAATAATTTACGAAAGCACTGTGAATTATTATTACGCTAGCGTAAGACTCTCGAGAGGTCTTAACCTAAAAAAAATGGCTTTCATCTTTGTCTATGACAAAATTACAATCACATGTGAAATAAAATCGCTGTGTCTAAATCCAATAATTTCATCAAATTAATATGATTGAAAAGTAGAAATAATTTCCATGTCTACTAGGGAGAATTGAATACATACGGATACTGACGCAAACGGAAATGGATCATTCAATTGAAAAATAGTCTAAAAAGTGTGCACATTCTCTCAATATTTTAATATGATTTTTTAAGTGATACCTAGGTACCTATAATAGGATAGTAGAGAAAAAAAAGGCATACTTAGTACTATAAAAAGTACCGAAGTCACTGTATTTAGACACTCCAGAATCCCAACAACGATTTCAATAAGACCAACTGCACGTTTTCTTTTCTCTTTTATAGAAAAAAAGGTCTTTCAAATAGGGCGAACCATCTTTAAATAATCGGGTAATACAAAAAAAAACGAGATCTTTAGAAATTGATTATTTTTTTAAAACGATTAAGCTAAAACTTGCAGAAAATGTTAATTATAAACAGATGTGCTTTATGATGTAAATTAAAGTTATTTAGTTTTTAAATACTATGTTCTTCCCTTTTCAGTTTCTTTCGTATTTCGTCAATTTCCTTTTATGTTAAAAAGTGTTAATTAGCATCACGACATCTCCAGTAACTTCAAATTCCAAAAATATGCTATGTGAAACTTTGATCAAATAAACTAATTTATTTGATCGAAGGTGTCGAAAGGGTGAACTCTTTTTCTGCTGATTATATATATTCTTTTTCTGTTTAAAAAAACTAGAAACCGTTCAAAATGTGTTTTCATTGTTAAAAAACATTGACCTCTATTATATACTCAAGTGTATAATAGAGGTCAGTAAAAAGATGTCATTAAAATGTTTGAAAGTTGTTTCACTTGCTGTATAGATGGCAATATACTCAACTTATATATTTAATTATTATTACTTTCTAAATGTAAATTTAGATATTAATTACGGTTAAATTCGCATTGACTTAATGAACCCCTTAAATAATCTTTGTAGTAAGCTATTTGTGTATCCTACTCAAATCCGACAAGAAAAAATATCTTGATTAAGCGCCATCTAGTGCAATTCTCAATTAACAGTTTGCACTTGTTGCCTAATAGATTGAAAATTGATTTTATTAAAATAAGAATATAGAACAAGTTAAAAATATATTACTGAGAAACTTTGAATTACTTATGTAAATTAACTCAAGGTATAATTATTAGTTACAAAATTATAGTTTTTTCAAAACGAAATGAAGTTCCCGATCCGGGAAATAAAAAAAAAGGAAAGGCCGTCTTTCTCTTTCACGGAAGCTCTTTCTTTTGATTTCTTTCTATACACTTTTGAGCTTTGAGTTAATATATTTACGTAGAAACTAATTTAAAGTAAACAAGCGTATAAATAAAACTAGTATTGAGTGATCAAGTACAGTTTCAGAGTAAATATACACGATTAGACGCGGTTAGAGTTCAATAAACTTCGATGTCGGGCAGTCCTTTTAGAAATGTCATATTATTGGATTTTATAGTGAATGTTTTGTGATTCTACCATAAAAGTTAAATATTAATTGTCGTGTTGAGAGACGTGTTGCTATGGAAAATCAGATTCCTCCAGAGAGGGTGGCACCGGTTCAACATGGACGAGGCTCAAGAGCTTTTCGCCACTTCAAGAATCCACCGCAACCTCACATGTGTATTCAAGATACTATAAAAGACACGACGGAAAAGTTATACATTAATGTGTTGGGATGGCAGAAAATAGCTAATCCGAAACAATATTTGGATCCTATACCTTTATTTGGTGGCATGCAGGTAGGTGTCCCACTTATCTATTTTTTTTAAATGACTTGTGGACAATCGCATTTGCCGCTCTTATTTTCCAATAAGATATGCTATACAATAGAAACTTCTACAAGCCATTACATTCATTAGTCCAAAAAATAATAAATAAAGTAAATTTGCATAAAAAAATCGGAAAACGTAATAACGCTTAACAACAACAAGTTTCTAAATAGAATAATTTATACATTTTACTCACAATGGCTTTATTTTTATTGGTCAAAGCAATGAACAATCAAATGTGTGTGTGACTCCCACAGTTTTCATTGTCTAAGATTGATTCTCTTGACTAGTGAATTAATCAATAAAATTAATTAATTAATAAAAGTTAATAGTTAATCATGTCATTGATGATATAAACAAGTGGTATTGCTATTGGTTGTGGGCTCCGGTTTCCGCATTTAGTAAAAACAAATGTTTTTCCTTTTAGTGAGTGACTATGCCAACCAACGGGTTTGCATTGGTATTGTAGAATGTTCTTGTTCAGAGCTTGTTTAGGCAGGAGTAACTATATCTTAAACTTATTTTTAATTAGCCTCTCTACTATATAATATAATTTTTCCCAAACTACCTCCTCAGTGCCCATTAATTTATCACACGGAACAGAAAGCGTACATTGTCAGTAATTTTTTTGAGGTTTTAACCATATTGACACCATTCAATGAAGCTGACACTAATTGATTCTACATTCTTTAAAAAAAATAATGAGAGACTATATTCATTTCAAAGATAGTCACAAAATTCTACTATATATAATATTTTTATTGTTGCACCAATTTCATATTTTAAGTATTTCTTATATCACAAGTAGACATTAAAAAGTTAAAAACAACAAATTCACAAAAAAAAAATTTTTTTTGCAGAATTCTAAGGTTCAGTGGTATTATTAAATTTGACATATAAAAATTAAATAAAGGTATTTTATGTTAAACATACTTTTTAAACATATTTAATGTTAAACAGGCTTTTTACAATTTTGAGTGGTTTTCTACATTTTAAGTTAACAAAATTATTATTTATTTTTTTGTACCTCAGAAAAACCCTATAAAATTTTGGTTCAAATTCCATGCAAAGGAAGTCGCGGGTACCAGCTAGTATTAAGTAAAAAGTGAAAAAATTCACGTTCAAAATATTATATTAAAAATAATGGAGAATGTATTCTATCTCATTCTCTTATACATTTATCTGTTTATTTCTTTATTGTGATGCATTTTCGTTTCATCGAGTTTCACTTTAAAATTTTTAATTAAAATTCTCCTTAACCTATTTCAGGTGCCGCAAGGGTGTGGCCCTAACAGTAACAAACCTCCAATGCTAGTGTATGCAGTCATGGTGAACCCAGATATATTGAAATTCAATGGGAAAAATGCAAATAATCCTACTGTGAGTATATGTTTATTTAATTTTTTACCTGTTACAGCTATGCTAGAGTCCTTTGCTCATAGAAAAATAATAATTAAAAATGAATCATGACTTAGTTCAATAAAAAATGATATTGGTAGTTGTTTTCAGCTCATTAGCATCAACAATTGGATTCAAGTTCAAAATGTCAGGTTGCCACAGACCACCAAGGAATAAAAGTATAAAAGTCAGTTTATAGATCCACTACTTCAATTTCATATAAAATAAAAATTTGTTATTAATAATGTATTTATAATACTTTTATTACATACTTACATATAATTTAGTAAGTCTTACTAAAAAGAATGAGAGTGAGAGAGTGAGACTACTTAAAAGAGTTTATAAAACTCTTAGCAAGTAATATAATTCTGTACTTTTGCAGTTTTACCTTCATAGGCTCTAAAGTAATACATATAAAAGGTTTTAAAGCCATTTGCAATAGTCTTCACTCTATGCCAAAGGAGCGAGAATGACCACTGATAAGGATAAATCTTGGGGGTCACTAAACTCTCTCTATACGAGTATTAGAATTGCTATAAAAACTTTCTTCTGAATACTAAAACGAAAAGTGAATCTATTGATACAACATTACATGTCTAAATCCTTTAACTCTCTATGCCTTACTATATAACTAGTTAGTTCCTATCTGTAGTACAGACAGGTTTCTAACATACAAGCTCTAGTTGTAAAATGGTATGCATCAGGTATTATAATCTCAGATTTTCGATCTTTTGTCATTTGATGGTCCTAGATTTAAAGGAATTGCTTCATTCACTTTATTACGGCTTTATTGATGAGGCAAGCCCTGAAGTTTGAGAAATTCAATACCCTCATTAATTAATGTTTATGTCCCATTATAACCATTTATATAAAACATTTTCAGGATCAAAAAGCTCTTGTGCGTCTTCTCTGTGACTTTGTTGAGGCCATGAATCCAGGATTATTTTTAACACGCAATCCGGTTATACTCAAGGATAGAGATTTAGCAGGTGAACTAAAAGATGTATGGCTCGCTGTTCAAAATAAAAGGGAACGGGATAAGAGTATGAACCAAGATATAATGTACAAGGTGAGTAGACTAAAAACTTTTTCCTGCCGGTAATTCAGTTTTATGTGACAGTACTTTGTACCTGTTATGTTCTAAACTTTTTCTGTCAACTTCTAGAACAATACAATATCGATAAATATGAGCAGGTCAATAGGTAAATTGCCTTACTTATGGTCATGAGTCATGTATTTGTCTTCAATAAATGTTTCTTCTTCCGTGTGGTGACGGATTAAGAATACAGAGGGTCACCACCCCTATTCATCAGTAAACTACGCAGGACAGCGGCACTGCAAAGAGAAGGAAAGCTTGACTCAAACCCTTTAATAACCCGTCTGGCCAGCGTTGTAAAGTAGGGCAAAACCTTTCTAAGTAGAGGCTTATGTCCAGCAGTGGACTATTATAGGCTGTTGATGATGTGATGAAATGCTTCTTCTTCCCTTTTTCAGTTATTACTATGTGTATGTAGAGCACAATTATCGCCAAAAACAATATGTGTATAAAATCCATTGCGGTGTATGTCTATTTAATTTCATTTAATTTATTAAATCCAAACCATTTTAACTATAATTATAGGTGTATGACATTGATGGCATTGGTGAAGAGATCACTGAAGATGATAACAGCCAACGAGAGAGAAGTTCTAGTGATGGTTCAGATGCTGAAAAGAAACCTTTCAAATCGTCCAAGCAAATACTTTTGAATGCTGGACAAAAATCTGAGTTTGACTCTGGTATGAATAACTGCCAAATCAATCAGAATCACGACAATAAGACTGGAAATAGTTCACCAGATACCACATACTGCACTCCGGTGTATGGACAAATTGTCTCATCACGGGAGAATCACAACCAAATCAATGATATGCATCAGAAGTTTTCTCCAAGCGAAATTAAACCTTCGAGTTCTTTTAGAAAAGACTGGAATCCAGTGCACGGTAAAACAACCGAGGGATGGGACGAATTCTCTAAGCGCAACATATCCTCAATAAAAAGCGAAGATAAAAGGAAACGGAGTCCAAAAGTTAAAATAAGTAACGGTAAACAGTCCCATTACGATTTCTTTCCTTACTTTGACAATAAAGTGGTGAAAGAAACTGAAGACACACATGATGATGATAGTATGAACAAAGAACAAGAGTTAAACGATGAAAATTCTAAAGTAATTATAGACCCAATGCAGAAACTAGTTCTGCATTCGACTGATAAGAATATATGTGATAATAACACGAGTGCTCTCAGCTCAATAAGCTCATAAAGTTAGCTTTTACAAACATTTTGTATGGCGGTTGTTGTTTGAACAATATATTATATTCGCTTTATGTCCTATTATGGAATGTGTTGATGTAACAGTACCAAGCTGTGCGGAGCAATATTATATTATTTTACGGTGATTTTTGACAGTTGAGTGGTCGAGTCGACTCTTATGTATGCATGGCTTATGTTTGCTTCTAGTATTTTATACTTTTTTAGAACTCAAATAATCCGTACACATTCAGAGTTATTCACAACTTTCCAGTTTAGGAAATGTAAAGTTTTTACTGTACTTAGTATACACTTATCGCAGCGAATAATTGGTGCACATAATTTTTAATTCATATTTTGTCGGTCTGTGTGTTTGTGAGTCAAGTATGTTTTGTCTCTTTTATATACAAAGAGACATTCCAATCTATGTTTTTAAATTCCATAAGTGTTCCTATCAAAAGGACTGACTAATACAATAGTTATTATCCTTCTATACACAGATAACAATATAAAAGAGATAAAACATAAGTCCGTCTCTCTCAAATATCCCACACCACGACAATACAACACGAAATGTTTGATTTGTGTGCGAGTGTTACTATGGTTGTGTGTTAATACTAATGTTGTTTGGAGTGTCACAACACAGACATTGGTGTGTTCAAATTAGGCCGACTTACAAATTTAAACATATTTTAAAATTACAATATAGCCTCGTTCTCTACCAAGGCGATACTCTGTCTTCTCATTCTCTATCCCATGTCTCTTGTCTCTTTGGGGTCAGTCCTAATCCTTATACATGATGGAAGGGACGTCGTAACGAATACTGAAATAGTGTCAGTCCATCATTCTGAGTCGAAAATCATTTTAATTTGGGGGGAAGGCCCCGCGCTTTTCCCCTGTATCAATTGTTTTCGGTATAATGTTCTGTTTACTCATTGTGATATCATTATTCATCATTTATAACCAAAAGAAGATGAAAGAATGGCAAATTACAAAAAAAAGAAATTGATGAATTTACGGCAGAAAGTTCCAATGATTTTCTACTTAGAATTATCTGAATACACTATTTTAGTATTCGTTCCGACGTCCCTTACAACCTGTATACCATTCTGTGCCATTAAAAAAAATTTGAATACAGCCTTGATAAGACATGTGTTTTCTAGAATTGTTTTTTATATCATTTAAAAGTAGTCCTAATTTGAACCAACAACCAGTGTAAGTATATAAATGATTTTTATATAATGCTATATTTTAATTGTTGCCAATGTACTATATTTAAAGTCCTGAGCTTGTTATGACTGTGTAATTTACAATCGAAGAATGTTATGTAAATATATTAAAATTCAATGTGTTCTTTGTAATCCTGAGGCCAACAATTTCGTTGTGAAAGAATAATGGATGTGACTAGATGGCGTTAATGAGACATGAGACGCATATTGATTCACTTACATTGAACAGTGTTACCATGCTTTACGTTAGAGTTAACCATTTTTTATTTAAATGATGCCAGTGTTGCCATTACAATTATTAAAGGTGAAGATATAATCAGATCAACCATCATAAAGGTTAATTAAGTAAAAATCTACATTACAAGAATTTTTTAAATCACTATGAAAACAGGTGGGTTTATCTATTTATGAAATTAATTTGTGGTTAAGCCTGAAACCAAGGAGTATAGCGACCTATCTTGTTGATATGATCTGGCACCTATGAAATCAAAATGGGGTAACAACAAAATATTTTTTACTACTGAAAACAAATTCGGATAAGTTTTTATTTCTAAATGCACTTCCATAATATTCTGTGATTTGTTTAAAGTATGCAATCTCATTCTCCATTAACTCTATTTAATATTTGAAAGAGTATTTTAGTGCAGTTGAAATCTGGATTGCGGTGAATGTATTTTTATCTCTTTAAAATTAATATTCAAATGAGTGTTTCCAGTTCTTGCTCATATTATTCAAAAATCATTTAAATTCACAGCGACCAATTGAGTCTTAAATATAAATCGTCTGATTTAATTAAATATTTATCTGAGAATTAGGAAATGAATAGTCGGTAGGCGTTAGATTACAATGCCAAATGATGCTACGTCGGTACATTAAAATATTAATCAAAGAACTCAATACCTACCACTAGATGGCGCTACCTATCGAACATCAAAATAATAATGTTTGGAATACCTTTAAGAAAGTTCGTATTTTTGAAAACTTTTAACGTTACTAGAAATATACTTTCGCGTACCACGATATATAATGGTGTTAAGTACGGGAATTAACGTGATCACGCAATCATCATTTTGTTATCCTGCCGTGAGTTTTCTTCTTTCATTCTCCTCTGTCATTCGTCAGTTCACTGCTTAATCCCTTCTTAGCCATATCTTCTTCCACGCAGTCCATCCATCTTTCTTTCGTCGTCCTCTACTCTCATATCCGTCAACTCTCATATTTAAACATATCCTCACTACATTTTGCTCATCTCTACGCATCACATGTCCATACCAGGATCTCGACACGCGATCATGCAATAAGTATCACATGTGTATGATGATGTGAAATTCCTGACGTTTCGAACATATATCTAACGCCGTTGTAGAACCTGATGGTCAATTCTCGTAATAACAATTCGGTCAAAATTTTATATCAACTACTACTAGATCTCTCGATCTCACAATATCATAAAAGGTATTATCGTAGTAAATAAACATTCAACGTTGACTATGTGATTATTTCGAATTGTTGTCCAAATTTGAATCGTTATTCTGCTAATCTTAGTAATACTTTACTACGAGAATACCTTTTATTACGTTTGTGCGATCGCGATGGAAGTTTCCGGATTACTGTAACGGCATGATGGATTTAAGGCGACTTTAATTGCTATAAACAAAAACAATAAATCAATTTTTAAATAAAAAAGCGCCTTACAAGAATAGTATTTTAATTTAAAGCGTCACGCCATCATGAGGTACTTTTAAAGTTATAAAATAGCGCAGAAAGATGGTACTTTTAAAAAGTTTAACGCATTATTTCTGTAGAAAAACGGTCCTATTTTCCAAATAAAAATTATTTTAAACTGGTTTCTAGTAATCTGTAGCTGTAATCTGGTGTAGGTTTAATGTATGATATTATGTAGATTCGAAACTCTATATAATGATCTGGTTTTGCGATAAGTCTAAGTACCTCGGATCCGATCCCAAAAAATTTTTTATTGAAAAATACATCTAAATAAAATTTAATTTAGTTTGACCCTTGCCGTTCTCTCTGCGAATAGAAAAATATGCGCTAAAACTTTTTAAATACATTGAATACATTGAGCCCACTTAACCGTGCCGCTGTCGTTATTTTTAAAGTAAAATAACAAAAATACATTAAAAATTCTCGTTTTGATACTCGGACACTACTCGTAGTAAAGGATAATATCTCAAGTCAAGTAGTTTTTATATGCTCGGTTAGTCGATATGTGCCATTCGTCCGGTGTGTTCACTCCTACAATCTATATTTAGATACTCTTGAAATGTAAAATCTATTTATAATGTGAAATTGAAATAGTGATGGTTTGAAGTTATTTTGAGAGTATAGACACGTCCCACTTAATAATTAGCTAATAATTTATTATGGTATTGACCGACAACAAACGGATAACGTGAATCTCAAGGTACAGAATGGAAAGAAGTGGGTTTGCCATTTGACAAATCTTGGGCACAGATACTGGAAAGGGATGTATGATTAAGTATGATCAAATTCGTTCATATGGATTCAAGTGTTAAGAATTGAGGCGGAACACTCCGGACGGCGTGTCATACATAGAGGCTATATATATTGTTACTAGTAAGTCATTATTTACACTCGTGCAATCCCTTTTTCGTTTTATATTATTTATAGTTTTTCCTAGTTATTTTTATTAGCGGACCAGATGTCAAAAGATCTCAGTTAGAGCTTCAGACACGGAATTTTAGATCTTATTTCATCATTCTACGTCAGAATTTTCTATAAGCTTTACACATGAATCATAACATTTATACAATTATTGAACTTTGTAACATCCATTTTTACTGTAGTTGGTAACTAGATGAGATGCTGGACCAGGTATTGTAGCTCTATTCGTACTGAACTAATTCTACTTCTGCGCTTAGTTCAGGGTTTCCTCGACTTTTAAAACTAGGGAACACTCATCAGATTCCTATTATTTTATGGAACCTTGTACTTAAATTTTTTAGAGAAACAAAAAAAAACAAGCCTCTTAATGGTTACTCTCATAACATAGTCATAATGTATATAGGGCTGTATAATTGTTTTTACCAAGGAACCTTAAGGTGTCGCGGAACCCACATGGGTAAATCAGAATAAATAAAAAAGTAGCTGACCCTCGATTACTCTGTCAGTATGACATGCTTGGTGGCACTATGCGGATTCGTTATTGTTCCACTTCTCATCTAGTTATTATTAAATCTACGATTTTAAGCACTGCAGCAAAGTATGTTTTTTTAACAATTTGATGGACGTCAAGGTCTTGAATTTTGAATATTATATTTTATGAATATAGTCTTATATATGTCAATATTTTGTTTATTTATTTTTGTATTGTACATATATAAAGTGAATTCCACTTATACCTAATAGGTTAGTTTTTTTCGATAGTTAAAACACCATAGCACAAGAAGGGGTAAACATTTAGTCTATTTTAAAGTGGTATACTGCGGACAAATTGGCAATTGTTAGACCTGAAGGTCAATTCTCGTAATATAAATTCAATTCCGATCTATTCTAGATATCGCAAATGTCATTAAAGCTGTTCTCGTAGTAAAGTATTTAACATCCAACTTTAACTGTAATATGATTATGTCGTATTGTGACAGATAAATCGGTATTCTGCTAGTCTTAGTAAGTCTTTACTACGAGAATACCTCATATGACATTTGTGAATGAAAAAAATCATGTGAATTTTGATTACGAGAATTGGCCTTCTCTTCCTCTAGTGGTCCCAGATGGCAATGTATTACTTGCGTGCGTACGT